ATTAGGTCGTAATCCTCAGTGTAACTCTACAATGTCAATGCCACCAGACAGAAAAGTGGAGGGGGTGTTGCACATACATACAATGTGTGTGAGACAAGGAAACAGAGGAAGTGAAATAAAGTTTTACTTACATGTCAGTTTCATGCTGGTAAATTCAACAAAGAAATCCTGCTTTAAAAGATGAAACTGAAAAAAAAAGTGGGAGGTGGGGGGTGGCAGGGAGTAGGAAAAACAAACTTGATGGCAAAAAACAAAAATAAAATCACATCAGCTGATATTTTAAAAATCTGGTTGATTCTGACTAACCCTGCTTACCTAAATTCTTTATTAACATTAATCTCAGTACTGAATGGAGTTTTTGACCAAACAAGATTTTACATTTGCTGTGCATCAAAGAATTCAAAGTGCTATTTGAAAAAAAGTTGTATTTTTAGAAATATTACTCTACAGGTTATAACAGACTGATTACAAGCTGCAATATGCAGCCACAAATTGTGTTCCAGTAGAGGGAGTACTGAGACAGGAAAAACTGATGCAGATCTAAGATTAATTTAACAAACCCAGTGCTGTATAAATTAATATGTCAATTCTCAGTAAAGGTTTTGAATATTGGTGAATATCTGAATTTAGACACTTCCTGATATTTGCTACACAGGCACTAAATCACTGCTTGTAATGAGCAGCAGAGTAAATGCCAACACCGTGGAGAAACGACTAAATGAGACAGTCTGGTCCCAAGACTCAATTCAAGACAAGAGCAAAATAAACCAGAGGAACCAAAGGCACCTCTGGTGAAAACAAAAGCCTAAAGTAATGCCCTATTCAAACAGGCACTCAGTCAGCTGATTTTGTTGTAAAAAGAAAACTGATTCCTTAAACTAACTCAAACACTAATACCCAATTTCTGAAGCTTCTTTCACCATCTGACTCATTTAATAGAGACTAACAACTACACTCTACTGCTTGGTTATCTTTATCTTTTTCAAAGGTTTCTGTTGAAGGCCCCACAGACTCTTCCTACTCCAGTAATTCATGGCCACTTGCTATGCTTTACCCACCCTGCAGTAACCATCTCCACAAAGAATTTCTAATACTACAAAATTCAAAGAGGCAAGAAGGTTTGGGAAAGAAAGTAAGAGTTTAAAAGCAAAAGGGCAGGGAGCAAAAAGACTAGATACAGGGGCGCCTGGGTGGCTCAGTTGGTTAAGCGACTGCCTTCGGCTCAGGTCATGATCCCGGAGTCCCGGGATCGAGTCCCGGGATCGAGTCCCGCATCGGGCTCCCGGCTCAGCGGGGAGCCTGCTTCTCCCTCTGACCTTCTCCCCTCTCATGCTGTTTCTCTCTCTCTCTCTCAAATAAATAAAATCTTTAAAAAAAAAAATTAAAAAAAAAAGACTAGATACAAAGGATGTTTAATCTGATCACATAATTTATAGCTAAAAACCTCCCATGACTGTCCCTGTATAGGCATTGCCAAATAATCCCTATTCAGCATAACTCCCCCCCCCCCCCCCCCCCGCCAAATATCATTCTAGTTTCATGAGTGCCCCATCACCACCTTTCACTATGCTTCAAATACTGCTTTGATTTTTGTATGCCTTTACACTTGCTGTTAATGCTACCTTAAATGCCCAGGAGAGTAATATAAGCAAAAGACTCCGAGTCTTTGCTTTTTTAATCCTGACTTTGTACCAGTGACCTTGTCATTTAACTGCTATAGACTGTCTCCACATCCAGCAAAAGGGGACCCGTTTCCCATCTACTTCAGAGTTAGAAGAATTAAATGAAATAATATATGGAAAGTAATGCAGGAGGCCTAGTAGAAATTAAAGCACTAAATATCAGCTCTTTTCCCAGCTACCTCTACATCTGCTGAACCCCTACCCACTCTTCAAACTCCATTTTAAATGTTTCTGTAAAACCTCCCATGTGTTCTATTTACCCCCCCCCCCCAAAAGAATCAACTGCCTACTCTTCTGGCTCTTAGAGAAACTTCTATTGTATTTTAATTGTTTCTTGATGGTCCTTTTCTATTAGAGAATGAACACCTCCAGGGTGGGATTTTTATCTAATTCCTGCCTACCCCAAATCTGACAGAATCAATAATGGAAGCTTAATTAGCATTTGTTGAATATATAAATGAATGACTGCATTAAAGTATTAGAAAATAAAACCCTGAGATGACCTGTCAAATATTTTGATAAAATAACACTTTTTTAAAGAACAGTCCTATCTTAAAGTGGTACCCTAAGAGAAGTGGAATTATTTTTTTAATGTTTCTGCTCACTATTCCAATCAGTAAGGGCCTCCTATAGTCTAGGAATACACATCAGTGAACAAAATGAAAAGCCCTGTCCCCATGGACTTTATATTTATCACAGGTAAATCTGTGAAAGAAATTACCACTGCAAACTTTTCCTGGAAAAAAAAAAAAATAGCAAAAGCCACATTTTGTTATTCATCAACATTTACTAAGTATTAAAAGGATCAAAAACAAAAAAAACCTTCCCACTTCCCATAAAATTTACTCAAAAAAAAAGTAGCATGAAATTCACCCAGATTTAGTGTACTTAAGCAAGCAAAACGGATTTAGTGTCCCCCCGAGCCCCCCAAAAAAAATTCCTGTTAAGGACCCATTTCCTTGTAGCTAAAAATAACTCTGACTTCTCCTTTGGGAGGTTAGTAATCTTTGTGAGTTTTAAGGATTTTACATGTACAACTGCATGCTTTGCATAATCCTAATTCAAAATGTGGTCTATTTCAAAGCCTGCTTATGACTTTAGCATTACCCGTTTTATAATTAAAGAAGACTTTTAGGATACTTTGTATCAGGGCGTCTATTCTAAGAGCGTCTTTCTGAGGAGATGGGTCACACCAGGACTAAATCAGGACCATGTCTCAACTGGGATGCACAGTCAGACAAGCAGCCCAGGTGCCACAGAAGGAGGCCGTGGGATACACAGGGGTCTGCAGTTCCGCACATCCACCTTTCCCATCTCACCCCCTGCTTCATCCTCTTTGTTACACCCACCTTGTTCCCCCAAGCATCTCCTGGCTTAGACGGTTCTTTCTTCACCTCTGTTAAAACACTACTCACGCATGAACATACCATTTCTATGGGGAAGAGCTTCCAGCTTCCCTCTGTTAGGATACCTGTACCCTTTTTTTTTTTTTTTTTTTGTACCCTTTTTGAAAGCATCAGCTCTCTCTCCCTGAGAGACCTTCTCATGGAGCCTAGCAAGTTCTACCTGGCTTTATTCCCACCCTGCTACTCTTACTGGGTTAAATCCTCCTCACCATTCTGCTGCTCACAACATCTAGGAGGAGACCTTACCCACAACATTTTCCCAGCAGATAGAGTGAACAGAGTATCCAAATAACCAATACTTGCCACACCTCAACTCTAGGAAGCTTCATTCAAAGCTGCAAAACATTATTCATTCATCCTGCAGAACACTATTCAATTTCAAAATCACAAGATTCACTCTTATGAACAAATCTTGCTGCCTAAAATGATGTTATTTCTAGGTCAGAAGAAACAATCAACATAGTTCAGGCGCCCCAAGCAGAGAATAAGGAGAAAAGAATCCTGATCATTTGACTTTAACCACAAGTTACTTATAGAATGGTCCTGAAGGGACAGGTATTTCCTCTACAAAGAGGTTTCATTTCAGCTGTACTTTTTGGTCATTTTGGACTTTAATGTGCCAACTTAATATTTTACTGAGAGCCTTGCCCTGCTTCACTAATTAACAGTACAAGAAACAAAAGGAAAGTCAGCAATGACAGATTTTGGATATAAATTGCAGGGAGCTGGAGTTCAGGCTCATGGTTCCTAAAAGTGGAATTGTATAAAAGGGGCTTGCTTCCCCTTAGAGACTACAAGGAAGGGGGTGAAAAACAAGATGTCAAGTGGTGAATGGACAAATCGTTAGGAGTCCCAGGTTTAAAGAGTTTTCATCAAGCCCCAGCCATAGGGGGGAAAAATACTTCAACAGCACTCTAAAGGAAACGAACTGACTTATAAAATGAAACATTTAAAAAGCATCAGCAGCATGTCTTAGAAAAATTACTAGTGAGATTTATGTTTCAACCTCCTACTTTCCCTCAGAAGTGCTTTCTAATAATACCGAGCACATTCCAAATAGCTTCCCTCTGCCAAGAACTTGCCATTGTACCTCCCCTGCTCAGCAACCAGGGTGAAAAATCAATGCCCAGGGAACCTTAATCCTTTCATTTTTGAAGTAATTGCAAACATCTATCTTGCTGGGCATTTATCCACAGGGGGAGTGGCTCCTAAATGAATTTAATAAGTGAACATGACCTTTAATAGATAATTTGGTTCCCAACAGGAAAGCAAGAGGGGCAAAACGAAAAAGGAGAATGGGTGGATATGGATTTAAAGGGAAAAAGTTAGAAGAACAGAAGGACTTCATTTGCGAAAAATATGAAAGAGACAATACAATTTTAAAGGCAAAAGGAGAGGAAAAATAATACTCCACCTAAAGATAAATGACCAGAGAAGGAGAGTACCAGTAGCAAAGAATACAGTCCAGAATCACTTAACTTTAAAAAAAATCATCTTACTGGGAATTTAAGACTGATGGCGCTCCGAGTTTGGAATCCTGGAAAGGAAAAGGGGTTAGCAGTAGAAAAAGAGAGAGCAAGAGACTCTCCCCTCATAAGCTCTAGAGGGGCATCAGGTAGGGCTGGATCAAGGTAATGACTCGGGTTCTTAGAAGTGCTAGGACATGCAACAATCGCGCGGATTCACTTGTCCGTGCGCGATCGAAGATTCCACGTGGGCTCAAGGGAGCCCAGAGCTAACACCACCACCTCCACCCTCCGCGGGAGCCTTAGAGCCCGGAGTAACAGATGGGCTCTCGGGACCAGACAAGGTGAGTGTTCTCCGGGTCAGCAAGCCCCGACGGGGACCCCGGAGGAGCAAAAGGAATGCAGCGACCAGGGTCAAGGGCGCCCTTCGCAGAGCACGAACTCACCGATGCCAAGCCCTACGACCAGGCGGCCGGCGAGCAGTGTCTCCTTGTTGTTGGCCGCGGCCAGCACCGCGGAACCGGCTGTGAAGAGGGCACTGGCCAGCAGGATGGCGGCGCGGCGGCCGAAGACGCCGTTGAGGGCCCCGCCGGCCAGCGCCGAGACGGCGGCCGCCCCCACCGTGCTGGACACGAGCAGCTCCTGCCACAGCGCGTCCAGGCTGAGCTGCCGCTTGAGCAGCAGCATGGCCCCCGACACCACGCCGGTGTCATAGCCGAACAGGAAGCCGCCCAGCGCGGAGAAGACGGCCACCACGTACACGAAGGCGGGGGTCTCGTCCTGCTGGAACTGCCGCCGCGCCGCGCGCTCCAGGTCCCCGACGCCGCCGCCGCCCGCACCCGCGCTCTGCAGGCTGGCGCTCGACTCGGCGGCCGCCAGGAGACTGCGCTCCCCGGCCGCGCTCGCCGCGTCCGGCTCCTGCTGCTTCCTGCGCCGCTCGCCCATGAGGCTGCTCAGGCTCCGCAGCGTGTACTCCACATTCTCGCTCGCCTTGCGGGACATAGGGCAGGGGCCCGGGACTTCCCGGGGGGGGGGGCGGTGAGGCTCGGCGGGCCGGCGGTCTCCGAGGGCTGGACAGCCCGAGCGGGCAGGAGCTACGGCCGCCGCCTTCCTCCTCCCGGCTCCCGCTCCGGCTGCCACGGCAGCAGCCGCCGCCGCGGCCGCTCCGGGGAGAAAGTTGCTGCCCGCCGAGCTCCGGCGCTGCGGAGTAGGAGCCTGGCGGGTCTCACTCGAGACTCACGCCCCGCGCCTGCCGAGCTGGCGCTGCGGAGCGGGCGGGAGGCGGGGCCGCGGGTCACGTGCACCCCGGGCCTGCGGGGCAGGGCCGCGAGACGCTCCACCCCTTCCCTGGGTGGGGCCAGGCGCGGACCGCCCGAGACCTCTAAACCCCACCCTACCGGGCTGGGTCGACCTCTGACCGAGGCTTCTTAATTTAGGGTACTGGCATCCGTAAGGAATTAACCGTGGCCTGGGGGGCTGCAGCTGAGGAGCAGGCCAATGTGGGAATGCCAAGTTAATAGGTGTGGGAGGCTAGGGAGAGAACCCCTTAAAACATCCTGATCGGCCTTCTAACGACCTGGGGATGGCCAAAGCTGGAAAGGGCCTAGGAAAATATATACTGGTATGGTACACAGCAAGCCTTCTTTCTTTTATGATACTGTGACATAAATGAGTTTGTTCTCATTCGGAGCTGTGTTCTCCCACCTCTATAAGCAGTCTCCCCTCATTGCCAGTCCCTCCTCAATTTATGCTTATTGTAAAGCTATGGTACATCTTAATTCTTTGAGGACAGAGATAAAGTATCTCCCCAGGCGAATCCCAAAATCCGGCACGAATCCCTGATATGTAAAAGAAAATCTACATGTATGCATTCCACTCGTGTATAACTAGGTGCTTCCCACGGGTAGAAATTAAACCCCTAGAATCCGATCTGTGATTTAATAGGCAACCTCCACCTCCCTCCCCCAACATGCTCACCAAAAAAAGGATGTGCCTTATTTGCTTGAAACAAAGCAAAGATGGCATTATTTGCGACCGATTTTTTTTAAACTGTTGAATTAATTGCCTGTTGTTGAATCCCCTCCACTTTAAGTCATTTGCAAATCATTTTATACAGTTCCACTTCAGAAGAGAAAGATTACCTTGTCTCTCTAATTTGCTTTCGTTCTTCAGGCTGAGGGCATGAGTTAAAGCAGCATATAATTCTATTTCTTACAATTCCAGGGCTCTTATTTCCTTTATTTGAGCAAAAGATTCTTAGCCTGAGGCCTATTTTTCATGCAGTCTAAACTATTTCCCTTTTAGAGAAAAGGATTTTGTCATCCCTGTTTCAACAAAAAGTTTTATTAGAATTCGTCAAAATTGCTTTCATTTGGATTATCTGTCATGATTATCTCCATAATATAGCACTTTCTTTTCCAGCAACCAGGAAATATGAATGAATGAGCTCAGAGGGTTTAACTGTTTAAACTGATTGTGTGGCTTTAAAGCAAGGCTCTACCATCATTCCCAGGGATCAATTAAACAGAGAGCTTTTAGCTCCGGAGCAATGAACTCTTTAATATTCAGACTTCGGGAAAGATCCAGGTGAGAGCGCATCTTTTTCCGCATTTACTATAGAAACCCTGCGCCCCCTGGTGGTGAGTCGGCTCACCACTTTTAAAGAGACCGCCACACCAGATGAGCATTAGCTAATCCTGTTAACAGTTCCTCTTCCCGAGCTGCAACAAACTGCCTTTTACTCCAAGCAGGTGTAGTGAGTGCTCCTGAGAGTTCTTTGCTGGAAATTGAGATTTTGTGCCACAGAACACTAAACTACTCAAAAAGGTTCTGTTCTGTATCATCAGGGCATTTATATATCTAAGGTCAAGTTATATCTCAAAAGAAATATGACATGAAAAAAAAGGCATCAGAGAGTTAAGCAGAGTTCTCCTCAGTGTTGGAGGGAGCCAACTTCATTTTACACCAGAGCGGAGTCCTAACTGGAGTTCCCTGAATCCTGCCCCAGCTGCAGATTGTGGTGAGATGGAAAGCTCATCAGCTGAGAATCAAAAGACATGAGTCCCATCACTATCGCTGTTTTACTGTTTAACTTGGAACAAAGCTCTAGATTAGTTTGTGCCTTGGTTTTTTTATTATTATTATTATTTGCAGAGCAGATAAATGGCGCAGCAACTACTCATTGACTAGAGTGAGCAGGAAAACATATTTTGAGATAGAATTGGTTGTCATTACAGAGTAAATAATAATTATAAGCATCATGAATAGTTTGCAAGGTAAGTTCTAAAGCCCCTGTTTTAAGTACATTTGCTTTACAAACCTCCAGGAACACTAAGGACTTGCCATAGAAGAGGAAAGAAGGGGCACCTGGGTGGCTCAGTCAGGTAAGCACCTGCCTTCGGCTCAAGTCATGATCCCAGGATTCTGGGATCGGGCCCCATGTTGGGCTCCCTGCTCAACAGGAGGTCTGCTTCTCCCTCTCCCTCTGTTCCCTTCTCCCACTTGTGCTTGCTCTCTCTCTCTGTCAAATAAAGAAATAAATTCTTTAAAAAAAGAAAAGGAAGAGAGGAAGAAGAGGTTTTAGTTACACCACTCTAAATCCTGAATATCAGACCAATATATCGGTTACTAATTCAACAGAAGTTGTTGGGAGGTAGTAGTGGGGGTAGTAGCAGAGTGTTGTCTTTGTGTTTATTGAATCTTTATTTTTAATTTTATGAGTGATTGATCCTTGTTGTGAAGCAGTCTAAGAAAAAACACATAAATCTCTTCCTAATTATCTCTCCTGCCATAATAACCCCCTTTCCTCAGAGATAACCACTCCTACCACTTTGATGTGTATCTTTCTAGAAATTTCCCTATGAATTTATATGTATGCATTTATATGTACACAATAAAATGCAGAGGTTGTTTTGTTTTTGCATCATTTAGTTTGCAAAGGAGAAAAAAACCCAATCAAACTGGTTTAAGCCAAAATCATGGGGGGGAGAGAGACTTACTGGTTCCTGTCTCTGAAAAGTAGCTTGATGTAGGACTCAAACTCCAGGATGTCACCATGAAGAGACTTTGCTCCATCTCTCCGCTTTAAAATTCCATTTTCAAACTCCATTTTCAAATTCCACATGGTGGCCACATGGCTACGGCAAGCTCCAAACTCTATATCCACCCATGTCTAAGGGTCATAAAAAAGGTTTCTTTCTCCGAAGTCCTCGAAAACTTATTGTATAGTATCCAATTAGATCTGTCAATTGCGCATCCTTGACCCAATTACCATGGCTGAGAGATCGCTTGCTGACAAGTTAGGGCCTATCATTGCCCGCATCTTGAGCTATGAGTGGAGGTAAATCATATGGCTGAGGTTGTGAAATCTGCCAGGAGACAAGTAAGGAAATACTGGATCATAAAACCAACAGATTTGAGTTACTCTAGGTAGCTAGTACAATGACATGGCATAAAAACCAAGTAAAGCATTTCAAGAATAAGAGACTAGCTAAGAGAATCAAACATATTGCATAGACATCAAAGAAAATAAAAATTCATATGAAATCATTGAATATTACTATGATAAAATCAACAGTGAAGACCTAATGTATACTACCATGACTATAGTTAATAGTTAATATGTTGTATACTTTAAATTTGCTAATAGAGTATATCTTGAGTGTTTTCAGACACACACATACACACACACACAAAAACCTGTTAGGTGATGAATATACTATATGCTAATTAGCTTCATTGTGGTCATTATTTCACAATATATAGGCATATCAAAACATCACATGGTACACCTTAAACATATACAGTTTTTATTTATCAATCATGCCACAATAAAGCTGGGGGTGAAAGGTGCCTGCTGAGAATCAGAATGTTGTTTTGATGCTCTTAGGTTCAGAAACCCAGGAATGCCAGAATCCTGCCCTCCTGACCATTCTTCCTTTCTGTACATATAATAGACAACTGCAGCACCAGAATAAACATACTATATTGTGAATAGGTACAAAAGTGTGGGTCTCTTGGCATGAGTTTTGAAATATAACAATAGGCGCTTAGGAGGTCCCCCCAAAATCTTGCCTTCCTTCAACTTGCTCTAAGGAGTAGGAAAGTTGGGATGAGGGAGGGAAGAATGCAGGGTAAGAAAAAAGACGATCGGCATGCCCCACTAGACTAATGCCCTATCTAGACCTGCTTACTACAGGGAGACAGGGAACAGGAAACACAACAGAAAGCACAAGTCACGGATGGCATTTTAACACACATCGATCCTGTCCGCTAATGACCATGACCCAACCAGGAATAGAACCTGTAACACAATGTAATATCTCCTCCTCTTTTGGGTGAGAAAGGTTGCAATGCCTCTCCCCACTCAGGGACTTTTTTAAAGATTTTATTTATTCATTTGAGAGAGAGAGAGTAAGAGAGAGAGAAGGAGCGGGGGAAAGGACAGAGGGAGAGGGAGAAGCAGATTTCTCACCGAGGAGGGGTCCACCCCAGGACCCTGAGATCATGACCTGAGGCGAAAGGCAGATGCTTCACCTGCTGAACCACCCAGGCAGCGCCATCCACCCCCACCCCACTCAGAGACTTTAAAGAGAGCAATTTCAATTAAGAGGAAAATAGCAAACGTAGCTGTGTTTTCTAGAAGTCTCTTGGTAGATGTAATAAAGGAGGGAAGAGCTTAAAGGGTTATCAGGATCAAGGGTAAGGGTGGGGGTGTCAGGCATGACTTGAGTTTACTCATAATGCTAAAGTGAAAAGAAGAAATTCACAATTCAAGAGCCTGAATGATTGATAGAGCAAAGTCCCAAAGAAGACAGGAGAATAACACCAAGATCATCAGGGGAGAGGCTAATCTAGCCATAGGGAGAAGGAACGCTTCTTCCTCTGGGAAAAAAAGACAAGCAAAAAAAGGACAGTAGGAAAGAAGAATATGGCATTAATAAGACGTATGGGGAAAGAGTTCTATTAAGTGAGTAATAGGGCAGGGAAGGGGGGGTGGGGTA